TAAAAAAAAAATAGCTGAGAACCGAAAAAGTGCTTAAGAATTAAATACAATATTTTGGAAAATTGAGTGGATTTAAGAGAAAATTGATTGGATTGTTTCTGTATTCCAAAAATTTGTATCTTATTACTTTTCAAGTAGAACAACAGATCACGCTAACATTGAAATAACGCTAAAATGATAACTGATCGAAAAGTGATTTTTAATCATCATTTTTAAATCATTTTGACGGCATCAGGATTTTTTTGTTCTCTCTTTTGGGCTGAGCCACTATCTAATAAACTCATCCTGGGCGATATTTGGGAAAATGATTACCCGATCGTGAGGATATTAATCGTGGCTTCGAATAACGGGACGGTGCTCGAGTACCCAGTATACATACAAAGATGTATGATAAGACACGAGTCTCCATATTGGCCGTTGTGTACTCTTTGCGGAGGTGCTCGTGTCTCTATTAAACGCCGTCTTCAATCCTTTATTTGCAGTCGGCTATCAGCTCGCAGTCGGCATTTAAAGGGATTGGGCTCCAGACATGACTATGCGCAATCGATCGCGGATGTATAAATTGTCTTGGAGCTATGGCACCTTTTCTTTCAATTACGGATATCTTGAGACCAACTCGAATCTTCTATCCGGCTAGAATTTTTCGCAACTCCCTCATTTACAGCATTAAATATCTCGGTGGCAACAAACTTCCAACTTAAAATCCGATTAAAATCAAATCACGTGAAATTAAGTTAAGCACAAGACTTCGTTATACAATTTCGTCTCTGTAGCTGATTTTGCGAATTAAAATCGTATTTTTCATCGCTTTTAATTTACACGTTTTACATAATTAATGTAACGATATCTCAAGACGATACTTATTATCTTGGATTGCGGTATACATCTGTGGACGATAATTTTACTCCCTGGATGTAATAAAAGTAAGTTCTGAAGGATCCAATCAAGAATCATATATGTGACACATGATTCTTGTGATACGTGTAGAATAAGATAGATAATTTCAGGATTGGTTTCAACAGAACTATTGTACATAGAAGAAACAGTTTTACCAAAGTATCTAAAAGTTTAAGTAGGCGTAGATCTAACAATAATTTTATTAGACTATTAAAATAATTATGTAGGAACGCTCAAACAGGTTGCTAAAATGTTAAAATTTGTTTGCGATATAGCTCATGAGATTTCTACATTATTACTCTGAAGGAATTCGATAAAATAATTTTTAAATCTATAGCTAATTAAATTTCTAGACGCTTCAGCAAAATCGTTCTTTCCATGTAAAAATATATGAATTATTGAGTATCTGATAATCATGTTATCACGATAGATCCACAATTTATATTGTATATTAAGTTCCGAGCTCATATCTTATAGATCCATTTTCAGAAGGTACTTACGCTCAGCCCACTAATATGCGACGTTATACTATATATAATTTTATCGATAAAAACGCGTTCTGAATATGGGCCACAGTTCTTACACCAATGCCAATAAACGTAATATTGGGATATTCCTCATTCCGATTACCAAAGTAGTATTTATCTGAACTATATAAGAGGGTCCGCGCGCGCCTACTCTCTTTTCCTCTACACTCGCCAATGCGAAATGTGGAGTCGTGTTGGCCATACGCGCGCGACTTCTTATCACCGCGCGCGTTCAATGCATAAAGCATAAAGTTCGTATCTCATGCATACATTCATAGAGCCGTCGGTGCGGCAACGACGGCGGGAGCGAGACGAAAGTCATAACTTACGGTGCGTCCCACGCCTCTCTGTCCCCTGGTGCCCTCCAATCCCTACCGGCGCACGTATCCCACCCCATAACCACCGTCCTGCTCTCGAGAGTATCGAAACACCCGCAAAATCGCCGGAGGGTGACTGAGGCACGTATGACGGCTGGCACTCCTCTCGGTGGTTCTCGGTGCGCTCAAAATTCCATTTTCCCACGGAAAAATTCCATTTTTCCATCGGAGCACCTCCTTCTCACCCTTTCTCTCTCGCACCCCCGTTCTCGACCGATTCATTGAAAAATAGTCCACTTACCGCGGCCTCTTTTTGCGATAAATCAATCGCGCCTTTCCGAGTGTGCCCCATATAACCATCCCTTTCCGCTCTCTCCATCCTTTCCATCTTTCATTTTTCTTCGGCACAACCTTCTTCCTCCGGGCGCGCCTCGATGCATAGGTTGGATTGTCTTCCGAGATGACTGCTGACAAATAGCGAATCGATCCGTCACCACCGCGCATCGGCCGTTACGCCATAAAGCTGCCGCAACAAAGCATCGTTTTGATGCTTTATGGGCAGCATCGCGTCGCATCGCCGACCGTTGGTTGGATGACGTTGTCGGAATAGATGTGCATGGTGGCTTGCATTGGCCGCGTAGAGAGAGAGAGAGAGAGAGAGAGAGAGAGTGTGTGTTCGTTTTGCGGATGAACCAAACGTCGAGCGCGCCTCGACGGCCAACGCGTTGCGTGTTCTGACGCTTATTCGTTCGCGTCGCGTTTTCATGCAAACTCAACGCGGACAACGAATTTTACTCTTGTATGGAATATACGATAGAATTTTGAAGGCCTTCTAAAAGTTGGATTCTCCCTCGTCAGCCTTGGAACGTCATGCCCGTGTAAGCAACTAACGTACGAGAAATTTCTTGTTAATTTTGTGAAAGCACTTACATTAAGTACATCTCAGGAAAAAAGAATTTTACGGTCTTTCCGATAATAATCAAGGGAATCGATACCTCCGCGACAAATATAGACTGAAGACGCGAAACGATGTAAATGTTTTGTAAAAATGCTCAAATATTTTGTATTTATTTCCTTTGTTATTATCTACATGTGTATAAGTATGTATAAAAGGACTGTTTTGTTGAAGTATTTAAAAACTTAATTAGATAGAGATCTGAAAATAACTTTGTTAATCTAAATAATTATAGTAAAATAATTACGTAGGAAACTCAAGCATGACGAAAAAAGGGATATTATAATATATTCGTAGTAATCAGCTTGTATGCGTCCTAATAATAATTTTGATAATTCAACAAAATTGTTTTTAGATCTGTATTATAATTAAATTTTTAAATATATATATACTTTATAGCGAAATTATCCTTTGTTTTTCTTATTTTAATTAATTTTTATTGTTTGCAAATCTAGATAGTTGTTATTTAGACGAAAAATGGATGCTTCGCCACGACTTGATTCACCTGTTTTTATGTATATCTCTCTGCTTGCACTATTAGTGCATCCTAGAAATTGTAAATCTCGGAAGTAATGGTGGATCACAGATTGATCTGCGTTGGAAGCAGGTGCGGCCGGTGCGGGATCGATGGCCGCGTCGACACTTTCTTTCATCGCGTGACATGCAAGGGAATAAAAATTCCTCATCCGCGGTTTTATCGACATCGTGGAATGAGTCGGCGGATGTTCCGCCGATGAGGAAAAAGCGTGCTGCCGCAGGACGCAGAAAGAATGGGGTGTCATCTGACGCAAGGATTCCACAAAAGACACACTGATCTCTTCCATTTTTTTTTTTTGTATTATAAATGAATATTCAAATATTTTATATCGCACGTGCATATAGATAAACACACATCTATGATTTAGTATATAAGTTGAATTCTATTTTAATATTGTAACAATCGCGATTTCTAATTTCTCACTTATAACACATACAATACACATACGTATGTGTACCATTTTTGGATACACAAGTTTTTAAAGAGATTTTTATCAGGGGATTGGAAAAGTTTAAGACACTACGTTGAAGTTTTTCGTCTCATAGCGTTTACTTTTAAAATAGTGCTTGAAAAGTTGATAGAAGCAATAATATGATAAAAAAAATGTGAATTGTGCCAATAGTATTAGTCTACTTTAGAAAACAGCTTCAACTACAACAAAGGTTAAATGTACCTAACTTTGTGAAAGCTTACTTTTATTGTGTTTGTGTTGTTTATATTGTGAACTTTATGGGGGTATTGCTAATAAAATGGCTAAATTCCTCCTTTCTAAACGACTCTTGATGTTTTATCTAAATTTAAAATATATAACTCTATTATTTATTTAGCATTCTTAGGTATATTCCTTTTGTATTTTCTTACGTTTACTTTTGCCCCCTTTCTTCTATATTAAAAAAAATTCTTTTAAAATAATTTTCTTTATTTCCTTCTTTAGTTTTCAGCTGATATGCAAGGGAGGAACCTTGCAGCAGAATCGCTTCTTGCGTGTTTTTTGCTAATGTTTAATCGATTTTTACGCGTAATTGTGCATACGCGCCCGTTCGTGAGAGCCGAATCGCGCGTACGATGCTTTCGTGATCTTTAACCACTTTGAAATAACGAGGGGACGCTTCTCTCAACGTAACTCCCTTAATTGGTGATAGGATAACTACGAGGTGGTCATTAATTACAGTCGGCGAACCCGTAGCGTTGTGGTTAGTTTGCTTCGAAGCTACTTTCGATCTCGTGTTCCCTCTTCCTCTCTCTCTCTTTCTCTCTGCTTCCGCTGAACCCTCTTACGACTGCTCCCTTTTTCTCCCTCGTCAATCCTTCCACCTTTGCGAAGGGTATCGAAAGAGTTAAAATGAACGATAACTAAAATTGACGTGCACTCTCTTTCTTTCTTTCAAGTCAGAAAAAATAAAATAAAAAGCAAAAAACAAACGATGGGATTGTTTAGAATAAAAAATAAATCTTTCACGCTTTATATTATACTTATAAGCGTATGCATAAATCGAAAACTGACCTGTGAATAATTATTATTATTGACTGACTGATTCAACCGATTGATACATAATTATTATTGTATTAAAGTTTATTCAAGTTACATTGACAAATATTTTATATCTTAGAAACTATTTCAATACATTTGAATATTGAGCTTTTCATTTGTCAACGTTGATGACTATCGACAAATACTGTACGTTTATTGAAAAAAATATTTCTCTCTCCATTTTCAGATCGCCGACTGGTGTCCCGAAGACTCATCAGAAAACTGGTCGACTCTCATGGCAGCGCGGAAACTCGCAGCCCTCTTCGCCGCGGTCCTGCAACTTTGCTTATGTGAGTGAATCTTCTTTCCTCTTTGTAGGTGCATGGTGATTTACTTTGATTGTTTGAGATGCCTTGAAATGAAGTTTTGGATGTAAGAATTCAGGCAAAGTATACAATCCTTCATAAGAAATAATTTGTTTTACGTTGTTGTTATTTTTTGACATATATTTGTAATCCGACGATAATCAAAGTAGTAAGAATCCAAGTTGTTAAATCAACTATCTATAGATAAGCGAGAAAGAGGCTATTCCAGTGTCTCGTCTTAGACGAAAAATTCTGATCATTCTTGTGGCGTTTATCATTCCCGACCTTCTCATGATATCATCCGGAAAGTCACGGTATTTCCGAACACAGTAGAGCCGTTCTCATAATTTGATGAAAGACTCGGGTCGAACGAAGGAAGCGAAATGGACCGTCGTAACGACGGGAGAGTCGCGTCCATACCGTTGTGACGAGAAAAAGGACGATATTGAAAGGCCAGGGAACAGGATGAATCGAAGGGACGATCGCAGGCGTCACTTTCAACCGCACCGACTTTCATGAGGAAACCACAGAAACTCTCCCGATGTCGTATAACAACTTTCCTCCGCGATATTGTTTGTTCTGATGACAGCGGGTGTACTGAACCGTTACGAGAATAACGCTCGAATATTTGCTGCGGAATATGATGTAAATATGAAGATAGTTATGACTAGATGGCGGATATAAAAGAGTCGTGTGCGATATTTTATAGGATGTTTATTTGAACCATCGACATTTCTGTCATTTATAACAGACATTTCAGACATTCCCTTAGGTGAAAGTAAAGAGTTTACATTGCTATTCATTGATGTCTTTCCTCTCTCGACCATGTCAAATTGTTATTTTTGATAACAATTTAAAATTATGTAAAACGTATGGCGTTTTAAAAATGCTTAATTTGTATTTTTATAATTATCCATGTTTCGAATCATATAATTCTTGAATTACTATTACTGTCTTCATAATGTCGGTTTCAATTTTTTTTTCTGGTTGTCTTGAAATTCATTTGTCCTCAATCTAAAGAAGGTGTTAAGATAAACTTCGTATACATATATAATCTATACCTCCCGAGGCCTTTTTACGTGTCAGGCCTTAGGCCCTCGACGAATAATCCGCTACTCTGTCTATGAGCTCTTCCCGAGTCGACGAAGTTCCGTTGTAAGCCGCGGCCGTAAGACGCAACGGATGTTACCTCGCCGGCCGTTCTCGCTCGCTTCTGAATCTCTTACTCGGTTATATCCGCGCTGCGGTGCCGGTGGTGCCGCAACGACCCTACCCAGGACGATACATCGTCAGGGGTGGCCCCGACGCGAGAGAGTTTGTAGGATCCACTTAAATCCACCGTGATTTACTCGGGCACGCCGCGTCCAAACCTCCCCTCCTACCCCCTCCCTCCTCGCTCGTGTCTCTACCTCTACAGCGGGATGCAGCCGCAGCCGCAATAAGTAACCAGGCTTCGGGCTTTTCGGAAACGCCAATGGAAAGCGTTAAGGAGGATTCGTCAGCTGACGGTTAGTCCTTAATACTAAAATCGCTGATGGTGCTATTTTGGCTTCGCTGATCATTTCATTATTTTTGTTAAATATACAATACTGAATATCGAAAATATAATATATGAATTTAATACAAGTATTTCTATTATATGTTTAAATAATATTATTATTTTTACTAATCGAAAACAAGAATAGAGAGGAGGAAACCCCAATTACCAAATTAGTATCTCCGACAGTTCTAATAAGATGCCATTGGCGATTCTAATACGTATAAAGGTCGGCAAGAATGATGAGTCACCTCATTCACACCTAATTTGTAATTGTAATGTAAATACAAACCTGCATTCTACCATATTTTATCTCTTAGAAGAAATACTTTGTCATTAAACGTTTTTCGGTTTATGTTTTACGAAATCTGCTAGAATCAAATTTTGTAATTTTCCTCTAAAAAATGTTATAGGAATGTTACATCTGTATTTTAGATACACTATATAGCGTAGATCGAGTGAGATATCAGAATAAATTTCTGTTTTGCGGATAAAATAAAAACAGCAAATATAACTCTATCATGTTTACAACCTTTAAGTGTTTGTACGAGTTACATTTATGTATTATTTCTTTTCCTGTGGAAGAGGCTATTAAATTAATTACACTTCTATTAATTTTTTAATTTTAATTTTCAGACTTAATACTCTTAATTGTTTTCACTATTGTTATTTTTTTAATTGCTTAGTTAAACCTTTCCTGTTCTCTTCCTGTATGTCTGTGTTGTACGAGATATCGCTGCAAATTTTCCTAAAGCAAAAGAATCGCGTAGATGGAAATCGTTTCTTTGACTGAGTTTTTTAGTTGATTATATAATAGTGTGTACGGGTAAAAAATTCTGTGGGTACTGAAGGGTCGATTCTTTTGTCTGCCGAGAATTAAAAGAGAGAAGCCGCTCGAAGAGATTGGATGAGGGCGTAATTAATTTCGGTGGTACTTCTTATTTTTAACTGGCGGTCTTATTATTGCTCCGCCGCTTTCTTTATTTCATTTCCGATACTTTGTTCAGCCCTCCTCCGAGGGTTGAAGGCGAGATCGTACGAAATAGTATTACAGTGCTTCTTTGAATCAAGGGAATTTACGAGATTTTTACAGGGTGCGTTTCAGCCGTGTCTGCAAGCTGCGAGTCGCGGCGAGAGAAAAAAAAGATAAAAAAGGATCATATATATTTCTCTTTTTTTTCTTATTACAACGCGAAAAAATAACGTCACCAATGTTTCTCTGTGCGAATATCGACACAGAATTCTCTCACACGCTGCGCCACATCATTAAGTTCGCAATTTTTCTCGATTTATCTGGTTATTTGTATTTTTTGCTTTTGGAAACGCTAATTAACGGCATGGCGCACCGAACACACAAATACTATCATAAAAATATGTCGCACGATAGTATAATCACGATTAATGTAATAAGTAATAATTATAAATGCGAACGTTAATGCACTCACCTAATGTTGTAATTCTTGTAGCCGGTAGTATTTCTATCCCTTTTTTCCATGCATCTAAAAACAGTACTTTACAGCCATGATGCACATTTCCCTCCCCTCCTTTAATCTCCCAATATTCTTTCGATATGTTCAATCTGCGTTTAAAAAAAAAAGAGCGCTAGAATTTTTATCCGCACTTTTACATCAAATCCATAAAAATTCAAGTCAAAATGGAAAAAGATTAATATTATTTTATGGCTTCATGGTGAAAAATTGTATGTATTAATCAATATTTCGTTACGTTTTTAAATCGCGCGGTGACATCGGCTATTCTTATTCCAATGCACTACAGTCGCATTATTCTTTGGCATTTTTCATAGATTTCCGATATATGTCAGGAACGAAATTTGCATTTTAACTGAAGGACTGCAGTTTATTTCATCATAAATTCACCAAACAAAAAGGTTAGATAAATTGTACTTTCAATATGTCTAACTAGACGTAAAAAAAAATACCGCTAATAACTTATTATTTTGATTATCAATCTTTGTTTGGTTTAAAATGATGTATATCAAATTTTGTTCTTCAATTACTCCAACCAAAGTAAATATTTAAGAAAATTCTTTCCAGATAAGAAAAAATCTCTTGGTCGATATATGAATCAACCCAATTTGAACCTTTTTTATTTACAAGATCGCAAGTGATTGTATCGATGATCGATTCTCGCCACGCGTTTCCTAGCGAGATTTACGAGCTCCTTCCGCCTCCTTGAGTTGGCAAAAATCTTTTATATCAGCTTTCGGCTTCGGCGAATCCTTCGCGAGTCACGCTGCTTGGGTGGGGTACCCACTTCGATCCGCTCCATCTTCATCGGTGGTCGATGGCGCTGATGACACGCGGGAGAGAGTGCCAGCTTCCATTTTCAATATCGCGTCGACAGTCGCCTTCAGGATCCTTGCCTTCACGGCGGATCCTGCGAGTCTCGGGTGTCCGTCATTGCTCGCGACGTTATCAGCGTATTTGCCGCGTCGGTTGCCGCGTCGATTTCTATGCGGATGTACATACGTATTGAAATGCAATAAACTGAATTGAAATCAAATATCTGAACTTTTGCTAGAAAAAATATGTTGTCTCGTTGTTGGATCCTGTTACACTATATTGAAATGCAATAAACTGAATTGAAATCAAATATCTGAACTTTTGCTAGAAAAAATATGTTGTTGGATCCTGTTACACTGGAATCAATCGTCAATTTATCCAGTTATGTCCAATCGTGAAAAAAAAAGTTTATATTCTTAATTTAATATTGCAACGAAGATTGCATTCGTAAAATTATATTTATCATTAATTTAATAATGATTTATGGAGAGAATGATAAAAAAATACACTGTTAATCTTAACTCAAAGACGTTGAGAGGATTTTCTGAGACATGCAAAAATGTTAAAATTAACATTTTTGTGTTAACGTTAACATTTTTGCATGTTTCAGAAAATCCACTCAACATCTTTGATTTAACATTTTATTTTTTACAGTGTATATACATATATATTACTAAAAAGGACACAAATTGTATTTCAGCGTTGAATTTTTCAGGAAATATTTTAATGATCGGATTGTTTGACAGATTTGCAGTCAACTTTTCTTTTATTAAAAATTCAACGAAAGATTTGATAGGCTGCGCTTACATAAATTTTGAAGGATTTATATCGATGATACACATCCATGCATATATTGGAGTTCTATACGTTGTTTATAATTAAATATCGCGAGATACGTAATTCTCATAAAATAGCAGCGCGATAAGTTACGCGTGTAAACATCGAGCGTTTTCATTACGGAAGCTTAACCCATTCGTTATATCAAGCTTGCGATTTTCGGGCATACAAAGGGACATAATTTATGAGAGGGAGAGACTGAAGAGAAACATGCATATATAAAGATGCGCGTTTTCATTAAACGTACATCATCAAATTAATTTTTACGTCAATGTATCGGATATTTATATTTATCGGAGATTATATGA